ATATTTGTTGTTGGTGCCAATATTTGTTTTTGGTCATTATGCTCTTGATTTGAATTCCAAGTTATGTTTCTTTATCCTATTTCTCTTGAGTCATCTTTCCTTACTCTTTTTAAAGCTTCAGCATATGACACTCTTTCGGTTATTTTGATTCTTTGAACTTCTCTAGCTTCCTTTTGTACTTTACATCCACCATATGCTGCACTATGATCTCCTCCACAGTTACAACATTTGATTTTAGAATCCTTATCGCACTTTCCATATTCATGTGGCCCTCCACATCTTGCACACCTGGGTTTTCCTTTGCAATCTTTTGCAATGTGTCCCGTTCTTTGACAAGTAAAACATCTGAAGGGTTTGGGGATGTACTCTCTAACTCTGTAGTTCATGTACCCCAACTGAATATTTTCTGGCATAACATTTTCAAATTGTAAAATTACTGCCATTGTGTCTTTAAGTTCCCCATCTCTTTTACTTTTAATCCTGGTGGCGTCTGTTATTTTCCCTTCTTTGATTTCTTTTTTCAACTCCTCCATTGTCATTTCCATTGGAACTCCTGAAATTACTCCTCTCAGCCTTGATAAAGACCCTGGAATATATGTTTTAATTCTTTCCCMCATCAACTTTTTCATTCTGATTATCTTTTGTTGATGTGTTTCACTGCTAGCATATATTAGCACTCTTCTGTTATTCATGATTTTAGCCGTTTTAATTTTCCCTATTTCTTCCTCTATTGCTCTTGTCAACTTTATCGGGTGGATAAATCCTCCTTCTTGTTTCAGTTCTAATAAAATTTTAATTCCACTTCTCTATTGTAGTCATTTTGTTCTTGTGAACTCGCCCTGTCATTTTTTTGCCTTTTTTTAGCTTCTTCTCTTGTTTCACTTTCTTCTGACCAACTTCTTGCCCTTTCTTGTCTCTTCCTAAGTGCTCTTTTCATTCTTGATGATCTTGATATCATCCACTCCATCTCATTTCCACTATTCCCTCCTGATGTAGAAGCCATGTTGCTWYAGTCAATGTACAGTTTATGCAATCCGCCAAATCAAATCCTACCGCCTTCGTTTGTTTGTTTGCTAGTTCACTCGCTCTCCTTCTGCCTTCTCCGCCACTCCAACGACCAACCTAGACATCAAGCTCAGCTTCACACCAGGCCTTATACTCTGCTCATCAGATGGCAGAGTGAAACCACCTGCACCTGCTTAAGCTGCATGAGCTCAGCAGCACTTTAGATTAAAGGGGAGAAACATCCATGCAGACACCACTGCATGTAACACCCTTCTCCATAACATCCAAACTCTTGTTTGGTACACAAAAAACACCACCACCTCTGCCAAAGTAGGGTCAACCATACACACAGGGAAAAAATGTCTGCCACCACATTTTCTGAGCTTTAAAAGGTAATGTACCATCAGCTTTAGTAGTAAACATAAACAAAGAAGGAGATTCTCAACCCAGTGGAGGAAGCATACAGMAATGCAGAGGAAAAGCTCAACAAATTCATTTCAGATGGGCAACCTGCAATCAACTTCCTTCGACAAATCAGGTTGTTTGATCCTTGGTACCTATCGTTTATGAGTAACAGTGCTTCAAGCTACGAACATATCCCAGGTTTTAGTGCTGTGCCTCAAGGAGTTTGAGACTTATCTTAACCACCTGGGTCCAAAAGCACTCAAAGCTTTATTGTGCAGAGTGGTAGACCTAGACATCTTATGGGGTGTCCTAAAAGAATGACTGTCCTCAGTGTCTTAGCCACAAAATACTCGGCAGATGCTGAACGAAGCAACAGCATTTACAAGTTGGTGTTAACCAACCAAAGGAGATCAATCACAAAGAAAAATCTCAAAACTTTGGTCTTCTTGTACCACAACCAGCACCTCACTACTGGGGCTTTTACAAGAGATGTGATGGAGGATGATGAGGAAGATTTGGAGTAAGACCTGGAAACTATTTAAAAAGCTCCACAGCTTGACTGTTCCTGAGTTGCTTGGAACAATCCTGTTCACTTTATGCTTCCATTAGGTAAAGTTATTAAACAGCATTTTTTCTTAGTTTTGCTGATGATACTCAGTTATATTTATCCATGAAACCTGATGAATGTAATCAGTTACTTAAACTACAAGCATGTCTCATAGACATAAAAACCTGGATGAGTTAATTTTTTACTTCTGAACTCAGACATAAGTTGTGGTTTTTAGAGCTAAACATTTTGTCATAGTCTGTGTTTATTTTGCTTTGGTTTTCCTATTGTTTCAGAGTTTCCTCTGTGTTTCTCTGTTCAGCTGCTCTGCCTTTGCATACCTGAATGCCCTTGTGTTTCTCCCAGGTGTTTGTAGTTTGTCCTCATTAGTTTGCTTTTATATTCTGTGTCCTGTCTTCAGTGTTTGTCCGTTCATTGGGCTGTTTCCAGCTAGTGTGGTGTCCTCTCATGTTCATGGTCTCTGTGTCTTTTTCTGAGTCATCCTTGTAAGTTGTTGCTTCCACTGCAGCCTTCCTTTGTTCATAAAACTTTATTTTTACATTTTTGGATTTTGCCTGCGCCCTGGGTCATTCTGCCGACACACCTCACACATTTTAGGAGTAAACACTTCAGCTCCTCTGGATGCATTAATCTGGCCTCCAGTTCTAATGTAAAGAACCTTGGTGTTATTTTTGATCAGGACATGTCTTTTAACCCCCACATTAAAAATGTTACCAGGACCACCTTCTTCCACCTGTGTAATATCACTAAAATTAGAAACATTTTGTCCAAAAATGATGCAGAAAAACTGATTCATGCATTTATCAGGTCTAGACTGGATTACTGTAATTCTTTATTATCTGGAAATCCAAAAACCTCTTTAAGAAGTCTTCAGTTAATCCAAANGGCTGCAGAGAGGAAAAGATCTTCGCTGGAACTTAGTATACTTCTTGTTTTGAGCTACAGCCCTCACTCAACCACTAGTTCTGGACCTTGCTAATTCTGAGCTCTGTTCTCTTCTAAGGATTGTTGGTAACACCCCTGATCTGCATGTCTCCATGATGAAGGAAGAATACCACTGCACCTGTGGGATTCACTTTGAACTTCACCTCCCTCCCTGGATCTTAAAGTCTCTGAAGTCTAGTATTTTCCTTTGATCAAATTTGACATTTATTTCTGTTTCTGATAAGCTGTTAACAACCAAGCTCCATCATACATTAAACATCTTATTGTTCCATCCTTTCCTAACAGAGCACTTCACTGTCAGACTGCAGGTTTACTTGTGGTTCCTGGAGTTTCTAAAAGTAGAATGGGAGGCAGAGCTTTCAGTTATCAAGCTCCTCTCTTGTGGAACCAACTTCCAGTTTCTGTCCGTGAGGCTGACACTCTGTCTACTTTAAGATTTTAGAGTTTTTTGTCTCTCTTCCAGAATTAGGTGCACCTGGACCAGTCCCGGACCAGTTCTTCTGTGTTTGTCTGCGTCCCTTTCCTGTCCCTCAACCAGCCGGTCGAGGCAGATGGCTGCCTGTCCTGAGCCTGGTTCTGCTGGAGGTTTCTTCCTGTTAAAAGGGAGTTCTTTCTTTTTACTGCTGCCAGGTTAGTTAACCCCTAACCCTGCCCCTGCTTAGGATGGAAGACTGTGACAAAGTGATTCAGTGCAATCGGCTGGCTTATTTAGACTTTTTTGTACAGTGCCCCAAGATTGTTTATTTTGACATGGTGCAATTTAAATACACTGAATTGAATCAAATCTAATGGAATTATTTAGTTTTAATAAGGAACTGCTGACCTCACAGGAAGTGCCGCTATAACCCCATGGACATTCACACAGCTCCACGGCAACTGCCTGAATGCCAGAACTTGACCTGGAATCTGCAAAGTCCAAAGAGACTGAGCTGAGCCTGAACACACACAGAAACATTGATATTAATGTTTGGACCTCTGATATGAACCTCATATTTACCTGCTAAAACCTTGTGGGCTGTCATTGCCATACGCTAGAGGTAATCAATTCAATCTCCTTACCGTATTTGTCCTTCAGCTGAGGTGTTCAGGTGAATTCTGACTAACAGTAATGTCATGTTAGTTAACACCAACAGCAGATCATCACGACTAACTTGTGCACCATTTTGATCATCCACAAATTGCTGAGGAAGTATTTCCACAGCCACCATGTTTTCAGCCAGAGGGGAGAGTAAGAGAACGAGAGGATGCAAGAGATGAAGAGCTTGACCATTCCCCTGAAAATGAAGAACAGAGGAAGTGGGTGTTATTTTCCTCAAAGTAGCAGTGTCTAAAATTACAACATAACATCTGAACAGTGACTTTTTTCACAACACTTTATTTTGATTTAAAAACTAAATGAAAGATTACTGTTCATTGATACCACTTCAGCCTCAATCTAAAGATAGTTACTAATATTGTTTGGTACTATTGATTGCATTATTGTGAGCTTGCAGGGTTAGGTTATTGTTCAGGTTATAATGAAGATGTATTGGATTAAAACCACTGGGATTTTCATCTATAATCTCAGATACTGATCACTAATTTGTTCTCACCTCAATGAGGATGTCACAGTAGGCTGGCAGAACTTGGTATTTGTTGTCCAATGGAATATCATAAACCACAGAGAAATTGAGAAACCCTCCATAAGATACCAGCTGTAGAGCAGCAAGGAGGTTAGTGGGCATACAGGCATATCTGAGATTTTATTCAGATATTGTAGCTGACCTTGCTGCCAATGAAAGCTTTAGGTGCCACCCACCACAGCACCTTCTGGTGGTTTTTGCCAGACAAAGTGTTGTTGTTAATTGTGAGTTTATTTCCATCAATGTGTGGGAGTTGGAAAGAATCAGGCGGATGAAGTATTCCATCTCTAAAAATAGTCTGATAAACAAATAGAAGTATAAACCTTTAACATTTATTAATCGTGAGTCTGATTTGCATCAATCTTAAATGTGGTAAATGTTTACCTGAGCTGTGGCCCAGCCAGAACTCTCACAGACATCAGAAACACCAAAACAAAAACACTTGGTACATCCGAGAGCGTTGCTTTCCTGTAAGTTGTAAAAACCTGGTTTGCATAGATCACAGTGGACTCCCATCACGTTCACCTGCATAAGTGGGAAGAGAWTTCCAAAGATGCTAAATATCAGGTAAACTGGTAATTGTTTGAGTTAGGGTGGGCATGCAACTGATTCAAGAACATAAAATATTCACACATGGGACGGATACTTGTTGTAAATCATGAAATGAAACCTAAAAATATTTTTTTGAATTATATCAGCTGGTAATGGTGCATTTTAAAAAGGTGTACTGCAATAGCTTTCCAGATATATTGAATACAATTATGAGAGACAGTGGCAGCAGTGTCATWGACAAGAGACAGAGCTGAAAGTATTAGAGCTGAAGGTGTTGAGGTTCCCCTTGGAGGTGATGAGAATGGTTAAGATTATGAGATCATCAGAGGAAGAGCACAAGTTGAACAAATAGGAGATAAAGTTAGAGACCAGAGTGAGATTGTTTGGGCATGTCCAGAGGAGGGACAGTGGCTATACTGGAAGAATGTATCAACTAGAAGCCCTCGGAGAGTGTAAACCTCTGCCAAGACCTATTTCCCCCATCTTGTAAGAGTTAATGCGCAAAAGCAGAGATGAAAACACATTTGCCAAATAAGTTCTGACGTAGTGAACATTTAAGCAGCAGTGTGCACAGAATTTCTTCCCGGTGGAGTCCAATGTGGAAAAAAAAGTCAAGACTCGTCACCTGACGTCATTCATGGTCAAACTGGTGTGGGATTAAGCTCCTAAGTTTTCATCAGTCACATTTCACCATGTAAAACGTCTGTTTTATCTCCTTGTATGAGTTTGTAATGGTTTGACTCTATTTATAAAGTGCTTCCTGGCTCCTCCCGTCTCCAAACTGTGAGGCCCGGCAACTCTCTGTTTACAAGCCTAGTTGCGAGAAACTGTTTTGATTGGTTGTTCGGAAATGTGGTGTGTTTGAGGAAATGGGAAAAATAGGTTTCATGGTTCAGTCACGGACTTTCTGGTCACAAAAAGTTCTCCAAATGTGCATATTATGGTAAAAATTATTCATCATTAAATCTGGTTTCAACATTACTTTTATAAAGTTTGAAGTCAGTGCTGTCCAATCCAGCTCACTGTTTTTTACAGAGGCCCTATGAAAGCATCACAGCTTTGCCAATCTCAGATTGTTAAACGATAAAAAATTCCTGTATCCGCATCGTGATCCGGAACATCACCAAAATTTATTGGTGTGTTGCTTGGCCCAGTACCCACATGTGTTAAAAATGTCATGACAATCTGTCCACAAGTTTTTAAGTAATGTTGTCCACAGTCAGAGCAACAGAACGATAAACAACCGACATACGCGACCGAAAACATTACCTCACCYTTGGCRGAGGTAATTATGATTAAATCAGAGTGGACAAGTTGCTCAGTTTTTAATAAATGCACTTTCAATCAAAAAATATCCAGGATATTGTTAATACTTGACACTTGTCCTTATTCAAATAAACAATAAATGAAATGAAACATGTGAGACTTCAGAAGATAGGTGAAAAATCTGAGGACAAAGCTTACCTTGCAGGTACAGGGGCCACAAAGGTCAGAGTTGGTGCTACCTGCTGGGTTACACTTGCATTGAACACAATGAGGAAAATCGCTGTATCCARATGCACAATGATCACATCGATGACCTGTGAAGCCCTCTTTACATTCACACTGGCCTACAGACAAAACAGAATCATGCAGTCAGAGCTACAATTCATTTTTACTGTGGGGAATGGAAAAAGGGTTCACCTGGTTCTGAGTCATCTCTGCTGCAGACTTGGGACTCTGATCCAGCTGGATTGCACCTGCACTCCACACACGGGAAATCTGAGTATGGAGACACCTACACAAACAAAAAATTGCACAAAAAATGTTTTATTTCAAAATGACAGGACATAGTCTTAGTGGTCAGCATTGTTTTCTTTTACAAGAAGGTCCTGGGTTCAATCCTCTCTTCAGACTTGTGATCTTTCTCTGAAGAGTTTACATGTTCTCTTCATGCTTACATGGCTTTGGTCTGGGTTGAGGGTGAGTCTTTTGCTTATGAGCAGGATGGAGAGGGAAATGTATTGATGGATCTTTGCTCCATCAGCAGGAACGAATACTTTGTTCTGGTCTGTTGTGTGAAAAAGGAGATGAGCTGAAAGGCAAAGCTCCCTATTTACCGGTCTAGTTATATTTCAAACCTCATCTATGATCATGAAGAATAAACTATGACTGAAAGAAAGAGACACTGGAAACAAGCAGCTGAAATGATCTGTAGAATATCTGGGCTCAGCCTTAGAGTTCTGGTGAAGACCTCCATCTTCTGGGGAGAGCTTGGGTTGAAGCCACTACTCCTTCACATAAAAAATCTGGCTTCCTCAACACCTTCATCTGGAAGTTTTCTCGACATGTCTTTATAGGAGGATACCTTGTGACAGACCCAGAACCTTCTGAAAAACAATATACAGTATATCCTCTATGGCCTGAAAACATCTTGGGATTCCTAGGAGGAGCTGAAATGTGCCATCATGTAGAGACGTCAACTTTTTCCTCATTGACCTGTTACTTTCATGAGCAGACTAAAGGTGAGAGGAAGAAGATGCATGGATGTATAGATAGATGGATAAGTTGGTACCTCAGAGRGTTTGTAGTAGCCATCCTTGCAGGTCTCGCAGTTGACACCAGCTGTGTTTTGCTGACAGTTTATACAAACCCCACCTCCTTTAAACAGACCATGAGTGTTCAAACTCAAAGAGAGTTCAGAAACAGTCTGATTGTAAAAACAGTCTATGGCTTTGTTGTGACAGTTGCACTCTGAGAGACATGTGAGACACAAAAACAAAGTAAGAGTTAGGTAATTATCTAATTTTCTCTTGACTTTTCTGTTTTTGATCTTGCATACTTTCACAGGTGTTTCTCTCAGAGATAGTTCCTGGTTTCCAAGGCACCTGATGGTAACCAGGGCAGCAGTCATTACAGTTTTCTCCACAGGTGTTGTGCTCACACACACACTGTAGCTTCTGGAGGGACAGACAAAGATAGAAATTGTTCCTTACATGTCCACCTGTTCTTCAAGTTTGACAACCAAACAGGTGCAGATGATTGATGTTACCTTTGTAACCAGATCTAATGGGCAGCTCTGGGCATGTCCATAGCAGATGCACATCCCACCCACAGAAATATCTTTGATGGAGTAGAAATACTGAAAAACAGAATAAGATGAGTTTGGAATCAACCTACCATAATGACAGTGTGTCTGTTGTCTGTCTCACCCTCCTGGTCACAATTGGGTCAATGTCTTGTGGGTCATGGGTGCTTAATGTCATGAGGTCGGCATTAAGAGTTCTTATTCGCTGAAGTCTCAGTCTGATGTAACGAGCTGATGTAAAGTTCAGAAGATCAGGGGTCAAATCATCGGCTCCGGGACGTCCATTAATTAAGGATGTGTGAATCTGAGAGACAGACAGGTTACAGACACATTATACAACCCCTAGCTAAACGTATGGAATCACCAGTCTTGGATGAGCACTCATTCAGACATTTCATTCTGTAAAACAAACTCAGATCAAAAACATGATTCAGTATTAAGGTCATTCCAAAGTGCAACTTGTTGGCTTTCAGGAACACTCAAAGAAATGAAGAGAAAACATTGTGGAAGTCAGTGAGTGTTACTTTTATTGACCAAGCACAGGGAAAAATATAGAATCACTCAATTCTGAGGGAAAAAGTATGGAATCACTCAAATTGAACATAGAAAATAAGGGCACACCCAGTCAATTTCCTTTCCCTAAATGGACACCTGCCTCAGATTAGATCTGCTSGTTAGTCTGCAGTTAAAAACACCTGCAGTCATGACACCTTGGAGGGCTGCTGGACCAAGTGGAGTGGCAGGAACCATGGCTTCAACAAGAGAAGTGTTTCTTTGAACAATAGAGAGGATTGTGAAACTTCTTGAAGAAGGTAACTCTTCACACATGGTTGTTAAAGATGTGGGCTGTTCACAGTCAGCTGTATCCAAGATATGGACCAAATATAAACAGCATGGGATGGTTGTTAAAGCCAAGTGTACTGGTAGACCAAGAAAGACATCAAAGCRTCAAGACAAACAACTTAAGGMCATTTGTCTTGAAAACTGAAAAAGTACAACTAAACAGATGAAGCATAAATGAGAGGAAGCTGGAGCCAATTTATGTGACTTAACCATAAGAAATGGCCTAAAGGAAATGTGATTTCAATACAGGAAAGCTAAAAAAACCCATCTGAATAAGAATCAGGTTTATTGGCGAAGTATACGTAAATATACACACAAGGAATTTGCAGTTTAGAACATCCTTCCGGAGAAACACACACGCATGACAAACATGGGGGAACGTATGTCTAGGGTCTTTTGCAATGTAGTGCGCTACCTTTGCAGTTTAGAATACACACACATAGGAAGGATGAGTTAAAAATAGCTTTGATCCTGTGTTTTATCCAGAAAAGCACACGAGCATAAGCTCAAAAAACTACTCTTTGCAAAAGTGCAGCCWGCTAGCGAGGGGGAGGGGGTGAAAACATATGGTAAGGGGAGGGGTGCAGCGGAGCCAGTGAGATCCAGGGCAGACTTTGTGCCGGAACCAAACAGACCTCCAGAGTCCAAACCAGATATTATCAAAGCACAGGTCACCAGAGTTCAGTTCTCTGTCTCCACCCAACACGCCTTCAGACTGGTCCAGACACAGGAGCGGGTTGGGATGGGAGGGGGGATCAAGGTTTCCTCCTCACATGTCATTCCAGGGAGGTTGTTATCAGCCTTCGACCAAGGTCACAGCTGTAGGAATCCAATGAAAAGACCATAATTCTTTGGGGGCAAGCAACCTTTCTTCCACTGCTTTAAGTCTTAACTGTGCCTCTGTTGTTGCAAAAAATGCCAATATTCCAGATTTGTTTACCATCTCGCCTCTCTCGTATGAACTTCACCCAGATCTTGCCTTTAATCCTCACAGCCACGATGCTGGGCTGCGGTCCTAGCCAGAACCACGTCCAGTCTGCGACTTAAATCTCCCAATTTGAGTCTGTGCATTTTCAGTACGGGAAATCCCATCCAGGGACCCAGACAGCTTCTCTCAGGCGCGGACCACTGTCAGGATTGATTTCATTTTCTGATAAACCAGAACTCTTCCACAGCCGATCAGCAGGAATTCGATTATCATAAATCCAAATATAAACGCATCTTCAATAGAAAGTGGGGCCAGGCAGATCAGATTCCACCCCAGCTACCCAACTCTTGCCCAGCAGCCACGGTTCCGCTGGGACAACTRCACTCCTCACGCTCCAATYTCAGAGTGGAAAAATGGTATCAATTACATTCAGAGACCAGCTGACCAGATCCATAATTCTTTTGTTGTCGAATGATAAATAGAGGAGGAAAAAAACCTTGATCCAGCARCAAAGCAAGGAAAAAGGTACAGGGTCAGGAGAGAGAGCAAAAAGCGTCCAAGGCCTCTGAGGGTTTGGTGCCTTTCCAGTGAGATTTATGAAGAGGACTGCCTGAAGACAACAACCAAATTTCCACARTCCTTATGATATGGGGCTGCATGTCAGGCAAAGGCACTGGGGATATGACTGTGGTTCATTTTTCTATCAATGCACAAGTTTACATTGACAGTTTGGATAGTTTTTTCATCCCTTCAATTGAACAGATGTTTGGAGGTGATGAAATCATTTTCCAAGATGACAATGCATCGTGCCATAGGGTAAAAACAGTGAAGGCATTCCTTGGAGAAAGACACATTCAGTCCATGTCATGGCCTGCAAATAGTCCAGATCTCAACCCAATTGAAAACCTGTGGTGGACATTGAAAAAAATGGTCCACAAGAAGCTCCGACCTGCAAAGCTGATCTGGCAAATGCTATCAAAGGGAGTTGGCACAACATTGATGAAGAATACTGTTTGTCGCTCATCAAGTCCATGCCTCAGAGACTGCAAGCTGTTATAAAAGCCAAAGGTGGTGCAACTAAATACTAGTGATGTATTTTGAATGGTCTTAAGTTTATCTGTTTTTCATGATGCCTCTCAGCAAGAAGGTCACCGGTTCAAATCCCGGTCCGGGGACCTTTCTGGGTAGAGTTTGCATGTTCTCTCCGTGCATGCATGGGTTCTCTCCGGGTACTCCAGCTTCCTCCCACAGACCAAAAGCATGACTGTTAGGTTAATTGATAACTCTAAATTGTCCCTAGGTGTGAGTGAGAGAGTGAATGGTTGTTTGTCTCATTTGTCTCTATATGTGGCCCTGTGATGGACTTGCGACCTGTCCAGGGTGTACCCCGCCCCTTGTACCCCAGCAGTGTTTTAATGGTCGTGCTACGTGCGGAGCGTGAGGAAGCTTGGCTGATCCTCCGCTATGTCACCCCGCCCACCCTCAGCTGCAGCGCTCACGCGGCAAGGCGGGAGATGGGTCAAGTGTGGATTAACAAGTGTTTATTAACACTAGCTTTTTCAAGATGGCGCCAACACTAGAGGCTTGCCGTCTACCTCTCTACTCTTTGATTGTTTTTTTACTATTTCTCACGTTTTTCTTCAATGACATCAACTCTCTACTGGTGTATGATCGCGAGCAACTCATAAATTTGAAATTTTCCTCCACATACC